AATTATAAAAGTTAGGGCAGAAAGAAATGAAATAGAAAACAGAAAAACAATTGAAACCATCAACAAAACCAAGAGTTGCTTCTTAAAAAAGCTCAATAAAATCTACAAACCACTAGCAAAATTAACAAAGGAATAGAAGGGAAAGACACAAATAATCTGAATAAGAGAAAAAACAGGCAATGTCACAATGGAACCAACTAAAATAAAAAGGTTAACAGTGGAATACTATGAAAAGCTATACTCAAATATGAAAACCTAGAGGAAATGGACACTTAGAAATTCACAAGTTACCTAAACTGACACAAACTGAAACTGAACACCTGAACAGACCCATTACAAAAGAAGAAATTGAAAAGGTAATAAAACAAATTCCAGCCAAAAAAAGCCCTGGAACAGATGGTTTTACAAGGATGGCTCAACATAAGAAAAACAATCAGTGTAACACATCACATTAACAAATCAAAGAACAAGAATCACATGACCCTATCAATTGATGCAGAAAAGACCTTTGACAAAATGCAACACCTTTTCCTGATTAAAACACTCAACAAAATAGGAATAGAGGGGAATTTCCTCAACATAGTAAAATGTATATATGTGAACCCGAATGTCAACATTGTTCTCAATGGAGAGAGATTAAAGGCATTCCTTCAGAGAACAGAAACTAGGGAAGGATGCTCACCATCACCTCTCCTATTCAATATTGTATTGCAAGTCTTAGCAGTAGCAATAAGACAAGAGAAGGAAATACGAGATATCCAAATTGGCAAAGAGGAGGTAAAATTGTCTCTATGCAGATGATATGATGGTATTCTTAGAAACCCCTAAAGACTCAGCATGACAACTACTGGACATAGTAGACCAATTCAGCAAAGTGGCAGAATATAAGATCAATGATCAACATACTAAAATCAACTGGATTTCTCTACAGTGACAAAGAAAAGATAGAACTGGAGCTAAGAAAAACAATACCCATCACAATAGCTAATCACAAGATTAAATACTTGAGAGTAAATCTAACTAGAAACACAAAGGATCTAGTCAAAGAAAATTATAAAACATTACTACTATAAGAAACAAAAAGAGACCTCGAGAAATGGAAGAATATACCTTGCTCATGTATAGAAAGACTCAATATTGTGAAAATGACAATAGCATCAAAGCAATTTCCATGTTTAATGCAATTCCAATACAAATACCAATTCTGTTCTTCAATGAGATGGAAAAGACAATCTCCAATTTCATGTGGATTGGAAATAGACCCCGAATAAGGAAAGCACTCCTTAAAAAGAGAAACAAGGTAGGAGGCTGAATGTGGAAACTACAGAACAATTTCACTGATTGCACATGCAAGCAAGATTTTACTGAAGATTATCCAAAAACGACTGGAACAGCACATCAACAGAAAACTACCAGAAGTCCAGGCTGGTTTCAGAAGGGGTCATGGTACTAGAGATGTTGTAGCTGATGTTAGATGGATTTTGGCTGAAAACAGGGAATACCAGAGGAATGTCTATCTGTGTTTCATTGACTATGCAAAGGCATTTGACTGAGTAGATCATAACAAACTGTGGCTGGCTCTGAGAAGAATGGGAATCCCAGAACACTTGATCATTCTAATGCGAAACTTATACTTGGACCAGGAGGCAGTCATCAGACCAGAGCAAGGGAATACTGCATGGCTCAAAATTGGGAAGGGCGTACACCAGGGATGCATCCTATCTCCATACCTTTTCA